CGCTCTAAGCGGTAGGATAGAGTCTTACTGTAAGGCCTCCAGATAAAAGATGCGTATTCTAACATTGATCTGACAAACGCACAAAACAGAACTTTATGTGTGTAAGGATCTGTGAATGCTGAACAATTTCGTCGAATAAATGCTAACTTTGAGTACGAACTTGAAAGTTAACTTGGAATCAAATACAACGCCGAGGTCTTTCATTTCAGCTACGGACTGTAAAGCTGAACCAGCGATACAATACGACGTATGCAAAGTATTTGTGTGTTTAGCAAACGTCACATGAAAGCATTTATTAATGTTAAGCATCAACTGATTTTTACAACACCAACCATGAAGTCTGTCCAATTCAGATTGCAAATTAGCAGAGTCTAATGAATTTTTTATGGATGCAAATATTTTGAGATCGTCAGCATATAGCAGGAAATTGGCGAAGCTAAAACAGGACCCAATGTCGTTTATAAAGAGAACAAAGAATAGGGGTCCAAGTATGCTTCCTTGAGGAACACCAGAAGAAGCAAAAAAGGCTGCGAAATAGCATTGTCAACAACAACAAAGCATTTCCTATTAGATTAATATGATTTAATTCAGGATAGAAATGCCGAATGAAAACCAAGTGAGGCCAGCTTCGACAGAAGTATACGGTGTGATACTTTGTCGAAGGCTTTCGAGAAATCAGTATAGATCGTATCTATCTGGAATTTATTTTGAATTGCGGAAATGCAGTAATCTGTGAAAATAGCAAGATTGGTAACTGTCGAACGGTTAGAGACGAACCTATGTTTATTTGTGGAAATAAGGTTTTTTACAGCAAAAGATAGCTTACTGTTTACTACTATCTCAAATAATTTGGAAACTGAAGATAATTTTGACATTGGTCGATAATTACGGACGTCATTTTTATTCCCACTTTTAAAAATAGGAGTTACTAGTGTATGTTTCCAGTCTTCCAAAAAAGTTCCGGAGGCCAAAGATAAATTAAATATAAAAGAGCTGAGAAACCGTCTGAATCCGTTTGAGACGATGGCTTAAGAGTTCCAATGCCTCTAAAAACATCCTCAATAGCAAAGCTTAAAAAGCCGAAATTGAGCACCGAGTCATTCGGACAATATGTGTTCATAATGTCCAAATCAGAGTCGTTGACGAAATTAGAGCGGAAAAATTCCGCGAAAAGATTAGCCGAGAGTTGGCAGTAAGAGTGTTATAAAAAGCGTTGGTTGGGATTGATGAGCAGGACTTTCTTGAGTCAATAAAACTCCAAAAAGATTTGGGATTTGAGATAATGTCGGCTTCAAAATTGTAAATATAGTTTCGATATAGAAACTTATTTAAACAATTAAATTCATTTAGAAAATTCCGGTACTTTAGCAAATGTGTGGGATCTTTAGATGATTTGTACATCTTGCAGAATTTATTCTTCAAATTCTTAAGACGTTTCAAGCGTTTAGTATACCACGGTAATTTATACAACCTTTTTTTTAGAACGGGAGTGTACTGCAAACACAGCTTATATAAAATTGACTTAAAAATACTGTAACACGAAGCCACATCACTGTCAAGGAAAATATCAGTCCAATCTATGTTTAATAAATCATTGTTCAAAGAAGAAAAATCACAGGCTTTATAATTGAACTTGGCACTAAGATCATCTGGTAGAGTAGTAAATTTATAGAACTCCAACTCAAGGTTGAGAGGGACGTGATGCATTA